AAAGCTGCCCGAATTTGTTTAGTCTTCCAATAAATTTGCGCTGGCATTTTTATCTGTGTTTTCTGGTAATCATGGTTTCCATGCTGTAATTAGAAATGTGAAGCTGTTTTAGTTGAGATATCAAGGAACAGCGGCAAAGGACAATAATCAGTGCGAAATGCAAATAGAAATCATATGCGGCACACGGGCAAAGGCTAATACAGGTAACAGGTAAACAAACACATAAGCCAATACAAACACAAACACAAACACACACGCACACAAACAAGCTAAATAAGCAGTTAAATCAATAGAATGTGTTCCGAGGAATGTCGTTTGGCATAATTAAACTAAATATTGTTAAATCTTTGCGTATGCAACGATTAATGAAGGCAACAACACGAAGCGACAGCTGACTGAATGCCCTGGAATGTGGGTGGGAGGGAAGAGAGCTTGAAATTATGGCAGACTCTTTGGCGCATCCCTCGAACATAAACAACAACAAATGGCAGCAGCAAGAGCAAGAGCTACAGTGAGCGTAATAAATACGTTTAGGGCTCTGAGACATTTGTCATTCAAATTAAGTACAAACGACATTACTCATTTCATCCAAGATTCCGCCGCCTCCTCCAGCAAACAAGCCAGCCAAGTGGGCATGGCACTCGCCAGCAAATTTCACAAATTTCGTTGATTCTTTCCTTTTCTTTTTGTCTTAAGCAAAAATTTAATTTAGATTTATGCACGTTAATTTGGTTTGGGCTGATTTTGCTGCCTCAACTCGGGCCGCCTGCTGTTTATTTTGTATTAATTTTATTTTACAGTCAAGCAATTTGCTTGGCCTGAACAGAAAAAGGAGTCGACTGGAGTGGGCCACGGAGCGGAGTGACAGGCAAAATTATTTAATGTACTTTTAAATATACGCACGTAATTGTAGAGTGCAAAACGGAAAGCTGCCAAAGGGTATGGTTAAAGTTTGCAAAGCTATGGGACTTCATAAAAAAAATTTAGTTTTAGCTAAGAGTATTTTAAGCAGAAAACTATGAAAGAAAATTAAAATAAAACTGGCACATTGAATATACAAATTAATAAGCAATTTAGTATTTATACTAAATGAAATATTATAACTGAGAATATATACGAAAAACATAAGAAGATATGATAATATATGAATAGCAGAAAATATATCATTAAGATAATATATATATATTTTAAGATCTTTTATAAGACGTTGTCCATACTACAAACAATCTTATATCTGTGTATCTATATTTATAGCTGACAATTATAGGTAAAAAAAATATATTTTAGGTGAGCACATTTAGATAAGAGAAATATAGATATAGATAGATAGATAGATAAATAGATAGATAGATAGATAGATAGATAGATAAATAGATAGATAGATAGATAGATAGATAGATAGATAGATAGATAGATAGATAGATAGCTATAAATTGATAGATAGATATATAGCAAACTAATATAGCAAAATAAATATTTTTATATCAGCAAATTAAGATAAGCAAATAAAAATCAAAATAAAAATAAAATAATATAATATAAATAAATAAATGCAAGAACATTTTCACAAAATAACTCCTATAAAATAATATATTTATATACAATAAATATATTTATATCCCTGTTAGCTACCCAATTTTATAGCCAAATAAAGAGTATTATACAGCCAAGCACAGGCGGCCAGTGTAGTCTGCTTTGAGTTAACAAATTACGTAATTACCTTTTAAAGAGTTAATTAAAAACCAAAACTGCATTAAAAAATGTTCATGGAACTTTCGATGATTAACTTAATTAAAAAACTTGCAACTTTTTATTATATAGATATAAATATATATATATATATATATATATATATATCTATATATGTATAGACATAAACTCACTGCAACATTTCAATTAATGGCCATAACTTGTGTGTGTGCCAGACAAGAAGAGAGACAGAGAGAGAGAGAGAGAGAGACAGAGACATGCAGAGTTATCTGCTGTTAGCCTAATCAATCCTAAACCATTTGAATGCTCACCAGGGAACACTTAAGGTCGCCGAGCACGTACCACAAATTGGAAAATGCTAAAAATACATGATACCAATTAGTTTTCTTTTTTCAGACCAGCCAAGGGAATAAATATTTTTGGTCGGCCACTAAGTTTACATCTATTGCAAATGGAATTACAACTTTTTCATTTTACATTTTGCCACATTTCCTATGCTCAAAGCATATTTTCGACTGTAAAAGTTTTTATTTAATAGACGGGAGCATTTGGTGTGGTAATTATGAGCAGATAGCCGTGAAAAATATCTCACAGCATGACAATTCTTCACTAAGCTTCACACACACAGAGACAGCCTCTGGGCATTGGAATGCGTTGTGACAGCGGCTGCTGCGTTCGTTGCGGTTGTCAACACTTGTGACCTGTGGCAACCACCCAGCTCCAGGTACAGCCTCGACTCCCCACCCACCTTCCACATATAAAAATCAAAAATATAACTTCAAATATTACAGACGAGGTCATAAATAAAATGTTGGGTTGGGCCAACTTACACCAAAGCCTGAACATTTGCCCTGCTCTTCCGCTCAACCTCTCACACCCTCTCTGTGTGTGCGTGTGTGTGTGTGTAAGCTCGCAGGTGATTTTATGTGGTTTTTATATGTTCGTGTGGGTGGATGTGTGTGTGGTTTCTCTCGAATTGGGTAGCTGAAACGTAATGTAATTAGTTGGCCCAACCAAATACATAATGAGCATAATTTAAAGATTTATTTGCTTGGCCAAATTGAAGAGAATTTTTATATATTTTCGAGTGGCATTTAAATGCAGCTATACCTGCTGTAATTTTCCTTTTAAATTCACAAATAATTGCAAATTATTTTCACTGCAGCAGCATTTACTTTTCGCTGCTCATTTCTTATGTAATGCAATGCGATGCAAATTTTGGTTTCCTTATTCGACTTTTTAAAGTTTGATTAAACTTCCCTCGGGCTATTTACATAACGTCACGCAATTAATTAAATAATTAAAAACTGATTTCGTATGCTCCGCTTTCAAACAGCAACGGAAATCAGACAGACGACTCGCAGCCAGACAAAAGGGGAGACAAGTAAAGAACGCTTGAAATAAATTAACTATGCTCTTGTTTTAAATACACTAACAGAGAGATTGCTGGGAGTTTCTTAAGGAAGATGTAACGTAGCGTTAGAGGTATATTCAAGTATGTAATTCTATGATGAAGATATACTTAAAATATAGAAAAATTTGTATTAATCTGATATTTGCGCAAAATCGATAAATATCGTTAGGCGTCAGATTTTAGTTCAGCAAATGAGCTGAGCATATAGACGTAAGTCTTTGTGTGATATAAATACATTTAGCATGCATTTCATTAGGAGAATTGTGCAGCTTATAAGACTTAATAACCAGAGTTGTCGTGTTTATTAATTATTTTTTACAAAGTTTTAAAATAGAGCACAAAATGAAGTTTTTATAAGAATTTAGAATGAGAAAAAAATTAGTACAAAATGTGGAAAACGTTAGGCCCAAACGAGACATTGTTCATGGCTGCATGCATACCCTGTAAGCCCAAAAATTTAATCAATTTGACTAATATAGCCGCAACTGCTAAATCGAAATCTATTTATATATGTTATGCACAAGAAAGCTTAGGCAGAATCCCAAGTCTAAATAAACTTTGACTCCAAATAGAAGCTGTTAAGAGAGCTGATCTTGTCTTTAATACGACTCTATTAGTTCAGTTATTTATATATATTTATATACATATATTTTTTTTCTCTAAAACATCTCTTTTCAATCAGTTTCTTATCAATATGTGTATGAAGAAGCTTAAAAACAGATGAGATACGATTATAGAGCATCACTTATGTATGACATAATTTATTAACAATTAATAATTTATTAAAATGTGATTAAGCAAGCTTAAAGCCAGCTGCTTACAGAGTCTAACTTGATTAAAAAAAAAAAAAATATATATATATATATATATATGATTTTCTCTTATAAAAACAATCTCTTGTGAATAAGTGAATATCTTGTCTATAGTAAAACTTCTTCAAATAGTCAAAAAGTGATATGTGACTAGGACAGCTCACAGCTAATTACAGGGTATTTCTGGTCTATAATAAATAGGTCAGTTTGGATTAGAGAACATCTCTTGTCTATAGCACAACTCTTTTAGATTTAGTCTCTATGTATAAGAGGAATTCAGAAACTACCTCGCAGCTGCTTACAGAGTATCTCTGGTGCTTCTCCCTTTATTAGCCTTGTCTCTAGAGTGTGCTTCCCCAGCTCTGCTTCATCTCTTGCCTCTGGCAGCTGCCATGTTTGTAGTACAGCTGGTTTTTGGTTAGTGCATTGAATCTTCGGCTGCAGGCAAAGCTAAAGAGTTCTCTTTTATTGTGCCCTTTATTCGTTCACCTCATTCCCTTTGTCATTGTCATTGGTGTTGTGCTTGTTGTTGTCCATTTGGTTGTTGTTGCTGCTGCTGTTGCTGCAAATGTTGCGCATTGAACTTTTAATTAGCAAAAGTGACGTCTGCTTAAGCGAACAACCCCAGCACAGCACAGCACAGCACCGGGCCCAGTGCCTGGCTGAAAGGTAAGCCGTGTAAGGTGCCAGCTGTCGGTGGATGGGTTCCGGTTGAGCTCTGGCACAACACTCCCGCCCCCAACCCCGAAACGCAAATGACAACAAAATGAAATTCATTTCTATGCACAGATTGTTTGCCTGCGCAGGCGGGCGAACTGGCGTTTGGACAGGCGTGGCATTGCATAACATTGTGTTTGTTTATGTTTCGGGGCTTTTATGATGTCGTAGTCGTCGACAAGTTCATAAATTATGAACAATTAAAATGTTGCCCGGGAATTGCTTGAGGTCGGGCCACTTTTTTGGGTCTACCCGCACGGCTAGTTCATCAAAAATGTTTGCATATGTGACAATCTGGGCAGGGGCTGGGGCTCAGGCAATTGAAGTCAGGCAGCTGGCGGCGTTGCCTCACTTGTCATTTGTGTTCTATAGCTATTATTCAGTTTTTAGTTTTCTGTCCATACTTAATGTACATAAATAGTGATTAATAAAAACACGAAAATTTCAAGTCTCAATCAAATCTATGTATAGTCCGTCTTTCACGACGTCCGGAGATCCGGCGCATTAATCTATACAGGTTAGAGCGAACTTCAGCCAAGCAGTCCACGTTGATACCCCCTTAAAGCCAAAAACCAGTAAGCAAACCAGCCTGTCCAATGTCATCCTCTTCTAAAGCCAAGCCCTACATATTGTGCTCACCATCTACGCCAGAAGCTAAACACGTGAGTAGCGCGAAAACAACAGATTCACGAATAATTCACAAATATTTTGTAATCATTTTTATTTAATTTTTTTTTTTTTGTATTTTTGAAAATATTATTTTTATTTTTTAACTTTTTTTTGTATATTTATTGTTATGTTTAAAGTTGCATATTTCGTATATAAAATATTTTCAGTAATACATTTTTTTTGGTTTCATGTGAATATTAAATATTTTTTATGTAAAATATTTTATTTATATGTTATACAATTTTTTTTAGCTATTTTTTAATACGTTTTTATTTTTAATAAATTTTTTATTTAGATATTTATTTATTTATATAATTCTATATTTATTTACTTATTATATTATGTATTATATATTTATATATTTATTATATATTTACAATCTAGCATTAATTTTTTTTAGTAATTACTTTTATTATTATTATTATTATTATTATTATTATTATTATTATTATTATTATTATTATTATTATTATTATTATTATTATTATTATTATTATTATTATTATTATTATTATTATTATTATTATTATTATTATTATTATTATTATTATTATTATATATTTCCTCCTCTTGACACGCAGCAATTCAACATGTGGAGACCAGATTTCCCTGATTGGTATTATTATAATGCGATGCTAACTAACTCCAGCGGACAATTTGCAAGCACAGTTCATCCACGACAGCACCGCCACCAACAACAACAACAACAACAAGATCAACAAGGATATAGACCAAGTTATTCATATATGCCTCGGCAACAGTCCCTGCCTTATGGCGCTCAGCATGAGAGACTTAACTATAATGGATTAAACCGAGCACAGGCTGCGACTCAGGCTCAGGCTCAGGCTCAGGCTCAGCAGCAGGCCTGGCTAGCTTATCAAAAACAGCAATTGAAGCAGCAGCATAGCTACAGCTATTGGTATGGCTTGAATCAGCAATTAGCTGGAAGAACTTATCGTCATACTGATCCACTCAAGCAGCAACAGTCTCAAGGCCAGACGCAGCCAACTATAAATTTGGTGAGAAAACACTAATCCCCCTCTCTTATCTTAGCTTATCTTCTATTCTCCACTCAATAGCTCGATAGAAGCTCTCAATCGGGCAGTTCGCAACATTCGCCATATCCCAATCAGACCAGCTTGCCTGGCAGCAGTCAGAATCATGACATCTATTCGCAACTGAGCAGCAGCGGCAGTCTCAATCGCATCGATAGCGTCTCTAGCTTTAAGAATCAACATGGCTTGCACATACGCGATTCTCAACATGATATGAACACCTATCAACTCATTGCGGCACGCAAACTGAAAACGGCAGCAAGCACAGCAAATCACACGGGGCAGACAGAAGAAGAAGCAAAGCAAATTGAAGAGGCGCTGATCAAACAGAAACAGCCAATTGTCGGCACCAAGCAGCAGGAGAGCCAGTCAATGCAACCAGCTAACTTAGTTATCAAGTGTTGCAGGGGCAACAGTTTGCTTAAAAAACTGGGACTCATCAAGCACCACAAAACCAAATCCACAGATTTAAAAATATCAAATTCGAATAATACTCAGGAATGCACTCCGAGCGGCTCTCGGAAGTCGCGCAAATCAAATTTCTTCAAACGCATTTTTCGTGTTATGCATTATCCTTCCACAAAGGTGACAAATGCAGCGATCGCACAGGATCTACGCGAGGAATTAGAATTTGATAAAGTACGCCACAAGCATTAGATGAAATAGTAAGCCACAATAGTTCATGATGAATGTTATATTAGCTTGTTATAAACAAAAAATTTTAAAATATAAATAAAAACAGTCAGTAAAGCCAATAAGAAACCAAATAAAAAAAAAAACAAAATTATAATTTATGTCAAAACATAACTGTTTTTTGCAATTTCAATTCTTTTCTTATTGATTTGACCTTTAGATTGACTCTGCACTTTAGATTTAAAGGCAACAATTTTTTTAGACTTTTTTTATTAAGCATTGAGCTATCTAAAAATAGATTTTTAATTAAAATTTAGCATTAGGGCACAACTATTAATTTGATATATTATTTGCAAGTTTTATCAAAAAATATAAGAGTGGGATTGCCGAATAGCAATATACCTGAACCCTGCAATTCCAAACATTTTACGCATCTTTTAGACCCACATAACAAGCTATAAATATGCACACATTCACACAAATTCAGCACATGTTAATGATATCTATATATCTCTATTTAACACAGCAAATATGGGGTTAAGGGAATGCAGTATACAAATGCGACAAAAATTATAAATCCGAGTATTTATCACGAGGATAAAATTGCATATATCTGCCATTTCTACTATATGTAGCAGATATGAAGTCTTTAGCTTTAGAAACTCTAGCTTTTGTGATTTACTAGATCGCTATGAACGAACAGACATACAGACGTAGAGAAGGACATATCTGGATCAAGTCAGCACGTCGTCCTAGTCTAAAATATACAAACCTTATGGGCTCTGCCACCTTCTGCCTGCTACATACATATTCACAGCAGCCTTTCGCCATGAATTCTTAATTTTGAATGGGTTCAATCACATATAAACTTTTAAAATGTTTCCAAGGTTATTATTGAATTCGTAATTCATATTTTTCCATAGAAAACTCTCGAATGGGCACGGGCCCAGCTATATTTTCCAGGAAAGAGTCGATGAAATTCCAATCCATGCCGAATTGACACCATTGATGATTAGCTTTAACCCACCGCAGCCGCTGAGCCACTCTGGGACAGCGGTTTGCCTGCATGTCGCAAGCGTTAACGGCGCCTCATTAAACAGCCATCAACGCTTATTAATTTTGACATTTCGATGGTCATATATCATTATCCAACCAGCAAGCCATCGCAGCTCGTCAGCAACAGCCGCAGAGTCGCACAGCATTTGCCAGTTAGACAAATTCCGAAAATTTCAAAAGAGTAGAAGAAAAACAGCCAAAAATAATTGCGCAGTTAACACGCTAATCAGCTCGTTACCAACTCTTTGATTTGGAACTCAATAAGAGCCATGCCCATATTTATGGGCATTTGAAGCCCGCACAAAACACTTTTGACAACTTTTCCCGCAGGTTTCCAAATGGAAAACGCAGCGAGGGTGGCACGAAAAACTCATCAATCATTTTTAAACAAATCTATAAATATAGAATTTACAAAAATAAACCAATATCTCTCACTGCTTTAAACTACTCGAGCCAACCTCGCGCATGCCAGCTCATTAACATTTCAATAAATTGTTGTAAATCTTATTGCAAATGGGCGTGGCAACAGTGTTTGCCTATAATTAGTAACGGCTCAGAGCAGAAGGTGCAACAACTGCGACGCGGTCAGCGAAAAATGCAACGCTTCATTGCATCACAAGCACAGCTAGAGAGAGTGAGAGTGAGAGAGTGTGAGAGAGACAGAGACGCCACCTATATAGAAGTCAATATATCTGCATCTGTTTTTTGTCTTCTTTAGTATGAAACGTTAACGAGTAGCTTGTAAATGAGGTCGACACGAAACTTGTTGCCCTGTTATGACTTCTTCTCGCAAACATGACGTCAAATCGAATTGGCAGTCATATTATATATATACATACATATATATGTGCGTATGTATATGTGCATAAGAATTCCAAAAATTGTGTGCACCCATGACCAAGTCTTAAACCACATTGTCTGCCTGACAGCCACAGCGAGCAATAAGTTTCAAATGGAGCCGACGTCGACGTCGACGTCTTCCATGTCAACGCAAAGAGCGATGAGCTGTGCTCCAAGTGGGGTGGCCGAGACGTGGGCGAAGGGGCTGCAGGTAGAGGGGGCCTCGCAGATTGAGAGGACAGAGCTGCAAGAGGCGCTATGCGATGCATTGCCATCATTGTCGTTGCAAAACGTTTCGATTTCAACGAAGATCATTCAAGTATTTCAGCGTGCACTGAAAGAAATCAGTGGAGTGTGCTTAAGCAAATTTAATGGTACAGCGCACTTCAGGAATGTCATGAATGTTGAAATCTTCAAAATATAAACAAATCAAATAAATAGAATGTGAATTACAGGAATTTATACCAAATTATTAAAAAATAAAAAATATGATAGAAAATAATATTAAAGAAATTTATAAAAGTATTTAAAATAGTTCCTTATAATTTAAAACTAAATAAATTTAATATAAATATTTTTAGTAGATATGAAAACAAAATAAATAAATATAAAAAGAAATAAATTAACACTTTTTTATAATTATTTACTATTTTACATTAGATTGTTTTATTTATATCGAAGCAGAGGAACTGTAAAATTAATAAGCCAACAGCAATTCTAGATTTTATTTTTTATGTTTTAGTTTTTTTATAGATAATTAAAAGATCTCGATTACAATTTTTTTTAGAAAAATCTGCTCATAATAACTACTTTATATTTTAAATTGCTTGAAAATATATTAAAAGTTATTTAAATGTAATCTTTAGAAATAAGGGAATTAATTTTTTTTTTGATTTTTTTTAAGTTTTATTTAAATTTATTTTAAATTCGATTGTTATTGTTTTCATAATATAATTCAGTCGAGAATCTCAGCAATATGAAATCATTTTGTGTATACTTTAAGTGCTTTTGTGTACTTATTTCTGTTCAATTTATAAAGCTAAAAAATGTTATAAAAAAAATAAAATATATTAAATACGTACGGTAAATGAGTTAACATATAACCTTTCATATTTATATATTTTTGATTTATTCATAATATATTTAATTCTATTTATTTTTCTAAGGTTCTGTCAATCAAAGAGTAAATAATATGCGAAATACATATTTAATTTGATTAGATATCCGTTATAAAAATAGCCAAATATTAAGGCTTAAAATTTAATATACAATTAAGCTCAAGTAGAGTTTTGGAAAATTAGTTTTCAAAAAAAATTCGTCGGCCACTTGAAATGTTGCAGCCGCAGGCAGAGTAAAACCATTTAAGAAAAAAACTAGAAAAATGAGAATTCTTTTCTTATTTTATTGTTAAGCCAATAAATTATTTTGCATGTATAAATCACAGGGGCACGAAACTTGTGCTGAAAACATGTTAAAGCCATTCAAAGATTTATTTCGAGAAGCGGCTCGAGAGGCTGCAGCGAGTGAAGAGCCAGAGCTGCCAAGCAGGAGCAGGAGTCAAGCACAAGCGTTGAGAGAAAGCACGCAATAAAATGAATGAATGAATGAATGAAGGAAATGGAAAGAAGCAGAAAGAATGCGTTGCAAGAAAGGCACGAAAGGAGTAGGCAAAGTTTTGTGGCTGTTAGCGCTTTTTATTTTAATTTTTCACTCGTTTCGCAAGATTTTCCAAATGCCGAGTGCCGCCGCTTGCCAGTCGCATTGGAGTTTATGTGTGTCAGGCTAGGGCTCGAGCTGAGCTGAGCTGAATTGTGGGAAACAGCAGAGCAGGTAGAATTACTAGCAGGAACCACCAACCCATTAACCTGCAACACACGCACACACACTCAGTCACACACACACAACATATCCGCCACTTGGCAACCCAAACAACTTGCGCTAAACTTTGACAACGGGAGACGAAGCGCGATATTACTTGAATATATATACCCTGTAAATGCCTAATGAGAGCTTGACCCTGAAAATCATTTTATATATAATATATATAATAATACAAATATTTGTTAAGTGTTTTTCAATGCATTACAATTTAGTTCGAATACATTTTTAAATAATAAATATTAAAATGAATTATTTTTCTGAATTTTTAAGCTCTTTAAAAACAATGATATATATATATATTATTAAAATAAACTTTAGTTTAAATTTTTAAAAATATATAGGAATGATAATTATATATATATATTTTTTATATTTATTTATATTTTACTTTTATTAATATTATATATTTATATTATATTTCAATATTTATTTTAAGCTTTTGAAAAAGAGATTTAATTCTTTTTAAAAAGTTTTGAAATTAAAATTTTGGTTGATTAGATCATAATAAATTATATTTATTTAAATTTGCTCTGACTTTTTCTTAGTTTATTTATAAAACTATACATTTAATTTAAAATAAAAATTAATAATAATAAATGGTTAATTTGCTTTTATGTACATATCTAAAATCTCAGCATTATTTATTTATAATTATTATACATTGTTAATAAAGATGTCCATTGCTAGCTCAATTATTTTTTAAAAATGAAAGCTTCATGAATTTATACAGAGACCTATGCTTTCCAGTTGATTTATTTATTAATGAAAACATATAAAATCTGCATAAATAAAAAAATTTATATAATATTCGCAAGTAAATTTTTTTACAAATATACATTAAATTGTATAAGTAATAATGAAAATGTTTCCCTTAAAGCCCAGCGGTACCCTGGGCTGGGTACAGGGTATATTCTAGTCGAGCACTCTACGAAACGGATTTCACTTGTTAGCACTGTGTACTGCTTCGCCCAGAAGTGGGGCTGCAGCTGGAGCTGCTGCTCTTTGATTTCGTGGCAGCTTTTAAGTGTTTAACTTCCTCAACTGGCGCTGAGCATAGCAGAAGGCACAACTTTATGCAGCCTCATAATTTACGGCCCTTCCCGATGCCAGTTTAAGGACTCGCGTGTCTCTAGCTCTGGATCGGCCCGCGCCTGTTAAGCAGTTGCATTAACGTAGCAAAACTTCGTTAAGTTGGATTGGGAATTTCTTTTTCTTATTTTCCATTTTGATAAAGTCCCTACAAGACACAATCAAATGCTTACTTCAAATACGAAATGGAGCAGAAGTGCGCCAAATAATCATTAGAGGAGCGCATTAAACGCCTTTTAAATGAAGTCACAAATGAGACGATAATCCGCCTCGAGACGAAAATGCTCTAATGTGTTCTTAAAAAGCTGCTGGACAAAATGAAAGATGACAACGAAGTGTTACCTGTGGCCTTAATGAAACATTAATGGACATTGAGAAAATAATATACAGAAGACAGATAAGTTTAGCTCATAGAGCATAGCTCGATACGAGATATAAGACTTTCTATTAAACTGAATTCATATAAATTAAAAATGATCTTAAAAATTTACAAATTTTCGAGAAAAGCTCAAATTCGTATCTCAAATTCAGCTTCAAATAGAAACTTCTGATCAAACTAAAGCTTACATTTAACGGCTTTTCGAAAGCACTTACAGAAACCTTTTTGGACAAGTGCTATAAAAGTGTTGCTTTTAGCACATATTGAAAGAGAGAGAGAGAGAGAGAGAGAGAGAGAGAGAGGGAGACAAATGACTACAATAACAACTACCTTTAACTATCCTATATCCATATTGTAACACTTGGAAACATCTAAAAGCTTTATACACGCACTTAAAGCTCTTTACGATTTACGTTTGTTTATTTTCAACTTTTTTGAGCTGAGAAAACAAACGCCTTGGACCCCAATAAACGCATAAATATAGCAGCTGCTTGAGCCCAATCGAAATCGTCATAAACTGTGAGTACTGTATCTAGAGACCTCTTACTCCACACCCACACACGCGCTTCCTATTCTCTGCCTGTCATACATACAGCTTAATAAAGGCAGCTAATCTGAGAGGCATACATACACACACACAAGCGTAGATATATTGTCAGAGTTCTTTATAGAAATTTTCGCACACAATGGGCGCATTATGTCGCTCGTCTACGTCGACTTTTTAAGTAAATTATAAAATATTTAAGTATTTTAAATGCGAATTTCATTGAAATTGCTGCAAATTTCAGTATGAGAATGCCTAAACAAATAGGCACCGACTGCGCAATGTTCTTTTGCAGAAGTTTTAATCCGATACATACTGTTTAATGATGGAAACTTGAGAAAAGGAACCTAAAAACTAAAACTAAAAATAATAATAACTCAAAATTTAGCTTTTACCAAAAATGTGTGTTACATAATTGAAATATATATTTTGTAGTAACAAGAAATAAAATTTATTATGTTATATTTATAAAACTCTCAAGCCTATATACTCGTCTTCACTTAATGTATAGCGTATGGCTAAAGTGTATGCAAAAGTCAACGACTGCCGGACAGACGGTCACACTGGCAGACGTGCCAGACAAGGACTGGCCGCCAGGAAGTTGAAGGAAGCGCACACAATGTGGGAATGTCATTTTGCTACAGAATGTCACAGCCTTTCCATCTCTTCTTCTTTCTCTCTTCCTCTTTCTTTTACTGTTATGTGTGCAAAGGCCTGACGTTGCCTTGGCCCCCACTCTCACTCTCTCTCTCTTTCTCTTTGCTTTCAGCTGTCATTGCGTCTTGTCCTCTACTCTTCATCTTTTCTCATTGTGCAAAGTGCACGGCAGCGAGCGTGTTACATTTGCAACGGTAAATGGGAACATCGTTCACATTCAATTGGAACTGATTGCGAGGCAGCGTCCTGCGGTCGTTCGTTAATGTTTTTTATTCTAGCATTTGTTAGCTAAGCTGAGGATTATCATAGGTTGTGCAGAAAGAGACGTTGCTCTTACTAAATTTTATAAATAAAAATTTCAAGTTTGAGACTAAATTGTTTGCATAAAAATATGCAGCAAAAAGCTTTGGTTGCTTAAGGCAAATGCAATCCAAATACTTCCCCTTAAGCTGTGCTATGTAAATTTACAAATATTTATCTCATTCTATTTCACATGCAAAACAACAGTCACACACACATTCAATGCATACAGCTGCTATGTAAACTCATGCTCATTTTACTCTTCTTATTCTATGCTCTCTGTTTCTATCCCTTTGCTTCACACAGACACACTCGAAAGGAACGTGTCAAGACGCGTTCAAATAGAATTAAAACGCAGCTATTAAATAAAAATCTCAGCAGTGACCACAGCGCTCTTAACTTAAAATTAATTACAATTAAGCAAAGAAAATGGCACACACCAAAAAAAAGAGTGCGAACAAAAGAGCAACAACAAAAAAAACAGGCCAAAAGCCGGGCAACTTACAACAGTCACGAGTTGAAAGACTAACACGCTAAGCGCTTCGCATTAAATCCAAAAGAGCGTCTCAGTCGCTGTCGCTGTTGCAGTCGCAGTGGCAGTTGCAGCACAAAATTTAACACTAACTGCGCTGCCGGCGGCAATGGCGTCTGCTGTTGCTGCTGCTAATCCACTTTTACTGTTCTTCCGCTCACTCCTACATACACACACATAAACACAAACACTCTTACGCGCGCGCACACACAACTGCACAAATGCAAGCTCTCATGTATGCAAGCGAAAAGGTAGCGACGGCGACGCTGCAAATTTTTTTTTTCTTTTATTTTGGTGTGCTGCGCTTTTGTTGTTTGTGGTTTTTTGTTGTTGTTGCTGCTGCGGCTGCTGCGCTGCCGCTGCTTGGCGCTTTTCGCACTGATTGTTACACACTAAAATCGAATTAAACTTGCGCGCTGTGCAGTTGTTTCGATTGTTGTTGTTGCTTTATTTTTGCCGCACTTTCCGCTAACTTTCGCTCTAACTTTTACTTTGTTTGCAGCGTAGGACACGTTGGCAAAAAAAAGGAGTAAAAGAAGAGCGTAGAAAACTTTTAAAAACGTGCAATTTTTTGGTGTATGTTGTTGTTGTTGTCGCTCTTCCTCTTGCTCTCTGTTGAGACTGCTTTTCAGCTTCTCTTTTTTGGCTGCAACGCAGCGAACGCGTAAAGGGATTTTCTAATAAGAAACGCGACAAAAGTTGAGCGTTGCGATCAACGGTGCAAACGTTGCGGAGCTTAACGGTTTCTAGCCCATTTCTCTTCTCCGTGTATTTATAATAATTATTTTTTATTGTTTTATCCTTGTTTGGTCCGAGATCAAAGGAGTCGAAACTTTTTCTTTGAGTCTGAAAATTTGTTGTGGCTAATAAATCACAAAAAGCCAATTTTCCAGTTTGTTTTATGCGCTTTAAAATTTGATATTTGGTTAAAATTAAAATCTTGCTTTAAATTTGTTTTGTTTTTATTTTCTGTTTATGTTGTAAGCGTTCAGTTGGACTTGCTTGTACTCATAATTCAACTGGACTAATTGGACTAATTAAAAAGTCTTAAACGCTGCTGGGAATTTTTCTCTTTTCCTTTATATGATAAATGGCTTATAAACAAGTTCTAATATTTATTTCTTGGAGCTATTCGTATTTGTTATAAATAATTATTAATTAGTTCTAAATTTACTTTTGATTATTTTCAATTTTCTTTAAATATTTTGTATAAGAATTCTACTTTTTATTTTTATTTATTTTTAATATTTTTATTTGTTGCATGATCCCAAAAATATTTATATTAACTACAGTACCCATTTACTGCAATTACAATATTCCTTCATTAGCACTATCAAATAAATAATTTTCGCTCTTAAAAAACTCTCTTCGATTTCCTAAACTGATCCTTACAAGTTTCCTCTGCTAGCTTGCAGCATTATCACTCTTATTTGTAGGCAAGTCCAATTGGAATTATGAGCACACGCTTTGCTTAATTATATTTAATTTTTAATAAAATCTATAGCTTTTATTTATTTATTCATTTATTATGCACTTTGGTGCATCCTTAGCATGCAACACACACGCACACATAGACTACGCACAGCAACAATAAAACGCACGAATGTGTGTGCCCCTTATTGAAAGCAGAGCTTCAATTTTACCGTTAGCACAGACCGTACGCACAGAAAATCACTTGAAAACTGTTCGGCCGGCCGCATCGGATGTGCCCGAACGGCCAGCCAGTGGGCATAGCCAATGATGTTGCGACAACATTGTTGCTGCAACGTGACGCATTGCATACGAGCCGAAGCCTGTTTTTGTGATTGCTGTGAGTGTCAGCAATGTTGCAGCAACTGGTTTGAGTGGAATTAAGCTGCAGCTCATACAAGTTGTGTTCGCACATGTTTGAGTTGGCTTGATACAGTTTTAGAGTCACCGAGGTGAGTTTTAGTTGTGCAACATTTTTACATGTTGCTATACAATGCTGTTACGCAGCATGTTGCATGAAACCAAATGTATGAGAAATATTTATATTTATATTATAACTGTAGTTGTTAACAGACAGACAATAGTCAATCATGACTCAACAAGTTTTGTTGCTTTTCCTGCGTGGGTGAGGCCGAAAATGTTCTGTTCTCTTCACGCATGTCAAACAATTTGAAGGAAAAGCGATTAAAAGCCCAGACAAATTGACCAATTAGGCTGGAAAAACGGTTTATGCCATTGTAAATATGATTTTCCTAAAGTTGATCAATATCTATAAATCCTAAACAAATGATAATTATTCTCATTACGAAAGCGTTGTTACCAAATTTCATCAAACCTAAAAAGATAATTGCTATGAGAAACGAAAGAGATAGCATACTACATGCATGTGGAACAACATGAACATATGTATATAAAAATTTAGTATTTTCCTATAACAATAATACACACTCCCCAGTGTTAAATGTCAATGAAAATCCAGTATTTTCAAAATCGTAGGCCCCAGGCACAAATTTCCACAAGTCAAATATCTATATATTTAAATTTTTATTACGATTCCGCGCAAACTATATGCATACAGTTTTCTATTCACATGGTTGCATTTTTTAAGAGGAATATATTGATATATTACGACCGCGTATCGATTGATACTAGCAGCTAATCGATACTATCGATATCAATCAACGTCGACCGTCGCGTCTCTAGCAGAGCGACGTTGCCCGTTCTTTCCTGTCGATACGCCAGTGCAGGCGTGTAGTGTTTTTAAAGTTGATCCACGCAAATCAATAAACATCCAAAATGGTAGGTGCCAATAATGTCAAATAATTGCAACAAATGCAGGATAGTAAAATGCCGCAGTCAAGTGCATCGAAATTTTGTGCATGTGTGTGGCAGACAAGTGTATAAAATCATGCAGAAATATGTAAAAATTGTAGACGTGACATTGTCTGCCACTGTGTGTGTGTTTGCGTGTGTGAGAGGTAGTGGTGAAATGCAAGACAAAGAAAATAGCTCAAGGGGCCGTCACAATGACGTATGCAACTATTACAAAAAGAAAAAGTACAGAAAACAGGTCATAAGATGAGACCAGATGTTTGCTTAATGCATCAGTGTAAGTGATTATATATATAGATCTAAAAAAAACCAATCAAATTGTTTTGCAAGCAATAGTCAACGCAAGTGGTTTTCGGGTTCTATTCTAACCTCACAAAATTTAACATCGCCTGAGCTAAATATGTGCAGGTATCTCAGTATGTGTGTGTGTGTGTATGTATAAGCGAGCATTTGTATAAGCATTCAACGCCATTTTTAATAGCAGTTAAGCTGCTCTGACAGCTTACACATGGACTTATTTACAACTCTGATGACTTTCTCTTTTTCTCCTGATGCTGTTTTTAGGTCAACTTCACCGTCGACGAAATCCGTGGCCTGATGGACAAGAAGCGTAATATACGCAACATGTCTGTCATCGCTCACGTCGATCATGGCAAATCCACTTTGACCGATTCCCTTGTGTCCAAGGCTGGTATCATTGCCGGTGCCAAGGCTGGTGAGACCCGTTTCACCGATACCCGCAAGGATGAGCAGGAGCGTTGTATTACCATTAAGTCAACGTAAGACGCATTAAACTCTGCAATCAGGCACGCTCTTAAATCCAATATAAATTAATTGCAGTGCCATTTCCATGTACTTCGAGGTTGAGGATAAGGATTTGGTGTTCATCACGCAAGCCGATCAGCGTGAAAAGGAATGCAAGGGTTTCTTGATCAATCTGATCGATTCACCCGGTCACGTTGATTTTTCATCTGAGGTGACAGCCGCTCTCCGTGTTACCGATGGTGCCCTCGTTGTTGTGGACTGTGTTTCCGGTGTGTGCGTGCAAACGGAAACCGTGCTCCGTCAAGCTATTGCCGAGCGTATTAAGCCCATTCTGTTCATGAACAAGATGGATCGCGCTCTGTTGGAGCTGCAATTGGATGCCGAAGAGCTGTACCAGACTTTCCAGCGCATCGTCGAGAACGTGAACGTCATCATTGCCACCTACAACGACGATGGCGGTCCAATGGGTGAGGTCCGTGTGGACCCCAGCAAGGGTTCAGTCGGTTTCGGTTCCGGTCTCCACGGCTGGGCCTTCACCCTCAAGCAGTTCTCTGAGATGTACTCCGAGAAGTTCAAGATTGATGTTGTCAAGCTAATGAACCGGTAAGCATTCCCTTCTATTATATACGCTCACACATGCTTTTAGCACAAAACGTGTGACGCTGAGCGTGCGACTTCTTTTGGACTGTCACAACCTTGCAAAGGGGCGTGGCAGTTTCGCTAGAACCGCGCGTGCTGATGGCGCCACAAGTGCAAAAAAAAAATAAAAGCAGATCAAATTAGAAGACGCAGCTGAAACGCTACACCGGAACCGCTTTCCTAATGTTCCAACGGTGCATTTGCTAAGGCAGCGACTCGACAAATTATATATTTATATCTACTATATATTGAATTTTGATATCTATAGTCCATTTCAACTCATAAATCCATATATATATATATATTTAGTTTCAATTTAATGTTTTCATAGCACAGTAGATTGCATAAAATCTTTGAAAAAACATGCATATATAATGTGTTATGTCTATGATATAGATTCGTTGTGCTTTTCTTCGTAATGCCCTCGTTTTTTATTTCTCGGAAAAATGATATGTTCATAAAAAATATTCAATGGCTCGAATGGCAACACTTTTGTATGACGTCATTCTTCCTCTGCCCCTAGAAGGCATCGCATAGCAATTAGCAACTATGTATTTTGATTATGGTAGACGCAGACGATCGTGTTGAGGTGTAGAATCATGAAAATAATTATATAAATAAGAGAAAATTAAATTAAATTAAGAACCAGACAATTGAAAAAGATATAAGGTGAGAAAATTTGTTTGTGTAATGAAGAGGGAAATGATGTGAAAAAAATATTTAACAAAAAAAAATAGTTCAAAGCAAATATAGAAACCATACACGAAATAAAATAAACATTTCCCCTGAAAAAAAAAAAAATGGATATCCGAGTAAACAATCATGCCTGAATGTGGAAATAGATAAGATAATATGTCATTCATAATTGATTCGATCACATTTATATAGTTAATTAAATCCTCGTAGAAATAGTGATCCCTAAAAATCATCGTAACTCAATTTCTATTTGTGTCAATTTCGTTTTGTAGTCTGTGGGGTGAGAACTTCTTCAATGCCAAGACCAAGAAATGGCAGAAGCAAAAGGAGGTGGACAACAAGCGCTCTTTCTGCATGTACATTCTCGACCCCATCTACAAGGTGTTCGATGCCATCATGAACTACAAGAAGGAGGAGATCAGCACGCTGCTGGAGAAGATCGGTGTTACACTCAAGCACGAGGATAAGGACAAGGATGGCAAGGCTCTGTTGAAGACCGTGATGCGCACCTGGCTGCCAGCCGGTGAGGCCCTGCTTCAGATGATTGCCATCCACTTGCCATCGCCCGTGGTTGCCCAGAAGTACCGTATGGAGATGCTGTACGAGGGTCCTCATGATGATGAGGCTGCCATCGCTGTCAAGAACTGCGATCCCGACGGTCCATTGATGATGTACATCTCCAAGATGGTACCGACCTCCGATAAGGGACGTTTCTATGCCTTTGGCCGTGTGTTCTCCGGCAAGGTGGCCACAGGCCAGAAGTGCCGCATCATGGGCCCCAACTACACGCCCGGCAAGAAGGAGGATCTGTACGAGAAGGCCATTCAGCGTACCATTCTGATGATGGGTCGTTATGTGGAGGCTATTGAGGATGTGCCATCGGGCAACATTTGCGGTCTGGTCGGTGTAGATCAGTTCCTGGTTAAGACCGGTACCATCACTACCTTCAAGGATGCCCACAACATGAAGGTAATAGATAATCAAATCTCCTAACGAAAGTCATAGTAATATGAAATTTTGTTTTCTCAATTCTTCAGGTAATGAAGTTCTCCGTGTCGCCTGTGGTGCGCGTTGCCGTGGAGCCCAAGAACCCAGCCGATTTGCCCAAACTGGTGGAGGGTCTGAAGCGTTTGGCCAAGTCTGATCCTATGGTGCAGTGCATCATTGAAGAATCTGGCGAGCACATCATTGCCGGTGCCGGTGAATTGCATTTGGAGATTTGCCTTAAGGATTTGGAGGAGGATCACGCTTGCATCCCACTGAAGAAATCCGATCCCGTGGTGTCTTATCGCGAGACCGTTTCCGAGGAATCCACCCAGATGTGCTTGTCCAAGTCGCCCAACAAGCACAACCGTCTGCTCATGAAGGCTCTGCCTATGCCCGATGGTCTGCCCGAAGATATTGATAGCGGTGAAGTTAGCTCCAAGGATGATTTCAAGGTGCGCGCCCGTTATCTGGCCGAGAAGTACGACTATGATGTGACTGAAGCCCGTAAGATCTGGTGCTTTGGCCCCGATGGTACCGGCCCCAACTTCATTCTCGACTGCACCAAATCCGTGCAATACCTTAATGAAATCAAGGATTCCGTTGTCGCTGGCTTCCAGTGGGCCTCCAAGGAGGGTATCATGGCCGATGAGAATCTGCGTGGTGTGCGCTTCAACATCTATGACGTCACCCTACACGCTGACGCTATCCATCGCGGCGGTGGCCAAATCATTCCCACCACCCGTCGTTGCCTGTACGCCGCTGCCATCACAGCCGGTCCTCGTCTGATGGAGCCCGTCTATCTGTGCGAGATTCAGTGCCCTGAGGTTGCTGTTGGTGGCATCTACGGTGTGCTGAACAGGCGTCGTGGCCATGTGTTCGAGGAGAACCAGGTCGTAGGCACCCCCATGTTCGTTGTCAAGGCTTATCTGCCTGTCAACGAGTCGTTCGGCTTCACCGCCGATCTGCGCTCCAACACTGGCGGCCAGGCCTTCCCACAGTGCGTGTTCGACCATTGGCAGGTGCTGCCCGGTGATCCGTGCGAGCCATCCAGCAAGCCCTACCAGATTGTCCAGGATACCCGTAAGCGTAAGGGTCTCAAGGAGGGTCTGCCCGATCTGTCGCAATATTTGGACAAATTGTAAGCGACTCCAACTTGGGGGACAGAGGGCTGCAGCTGCCTAACCTATGAAGCAGGTGGAACGATCAAAGATGCAGAAACAACAGCAAAAACAACATCAACAGCTGTGGCCGCTGGCAGCGTTTAAAAAACACACACAACATTTAAAGAAATTTTGATGATTATTAATTGTATAACAGTAAACAACAACAACAAAATAAATCAAGTAAATGATTATACTTAAGTTTATATAAAACAAAAAACAAATACATACATGGAGAGCACACTTAAAATGTGCTCGAACAAAAATAGAAAACAGAAAACAAAAAGGGGTCCAATCCAATTGAAAACGAAGCTGAAAGCAACTAGTTTGGTTGCTGTCAACAAAGATCACGTTTTAGCAGCGCTGTTAAGGCTAGAGAAATTTGAATGTACGTTAACATTGCCATTGACAACTCACTAAGTTAGCCAAAAGCAGCTGGGATTCAGCCACCCCTCCTGAACTAGCTAAATTGAACAACACTATTCTGTTATAGCTGTAACAGCTGTAGTTACCGCATTGAAAATTGCAACGTGGGGGTTGTATTTTGGCTTTTATTGTTTTTGTTCGTGATGCACGCCGCGTGGCCAAGTGCAAAATCACAAAGCAAAGCACACAAAGCCAATCAATGTTAATGATTACAACAAATGGGCGACATGCGGCGTTTGGCAAACAAAAACAACAGCAGCAGTAGCAGCTCGGTATGGGGTGGCACCGACCGAGAGAATGGGCAAGAGAGAGAGAGAGAGCGCGCGCAATTGCAACCCAAACAAAAACTCCCACACCAATGCGCGTACGGTCTCTCCTATTGCACTCTCTGCTTTTGTATGGCTGCCCGAATCTAGCTAAATCTAATGATTTTACCCTCTGCTAATAAAGAGTGTACTAATGTAAAGAAAAAACTATTAAATTGCAATCCCAGCTAAAATGATTTTAACAATCATAGCTATGTTAACAGACAGGCAGTATTGTCTGCGAAGAGAGCCAATATTGGCAGATCATTGGATCACGCACAAGTACAATCCAATGTAATGCTAGCTTATGAGAGCTTGCTCTTTGTTTGCGCTCTTTGTGTGCGGAGCTTGAGGTATAAGCAACAACAACAAGTAAAATAGTAAGTGAATAACATCCACCAGATACAGTAACAGCATAGAGTAGCCAATTGGCTTCTCTCTGCGGCTCAGTCGTGTTTCGGTGTTCGAGGCAAGCAGACGTGTTTGAGCAGTTGCTTGGCGCATCACATCGCATTGCAATATTTTTGTAAATTTTAATAGGTATATGAGCGCGTGTATGTGTGTGTTTCGATTTGTCTGTGTGTACGTGTGGTTTGCGGTCTGTGCTGTGTTTAAAATTCAAATTCGAAATTAATCGAATTAAATATTGCAAAAATAGTCAACAATTTGCTGAATTCGTTTGCCAAACGAGCGGAACCAACAACAAAAGTAACTTACGTTCATACACAGTATAGGTGTCTGTGCCTGTGTCATTCTACGTGTGTACGTGTGCATGTGTGTGTTCATGTGTGTAGGTGGAATTGTATGTAATTCATAAGCAAATTGCTAAATGCGAATAGAATTCTCTTGTTCTCGGAAGTCGCCGTCTGTTTTTGTCATCGTCTCAAAAGCCGCCGTCGACGTCGCTGCCGCCGCTACGTCTGTCATTACAAACGTCAGCCCCGCATTTGGGCTTGTTGGCTATCTCGCTCTTGCACACGCATACGCGCGCGGCATATTTGCTATATTTAGCAACATTTCCAATTGGAAGATTTTTGATTTGACCTTTTGGCAGTAAAAGCTTTTAACTGTAATTATTATGCGTTGCCAGCATAAAAAACAAACCAAATGCTGATGCTAAATGTGTGTGTGTGTGTGTGGGTTGGAGTGTGTGTGTGTGAGTGTGTGCGTCTGCATATGAAAAAATCGATGCCAGACTCCCTGCGACAACGACGACGACGACGTCGACGCCAGGCAACTTCATTCAGTAAAGTAAAAGGCAAGAGGCAAAGGCAGCGACGCCAGCGTCGCCGCAGTATATTTTACAGTTAGACAAAGTTGGAGCTTTGCGCTGTCTGTCTATGTGTGCGTTTGTAAGTGTGTAGGTGGCTGCAGCTGAAGTTTGAAATTCGAATTGGAACTGGCTTTATGGACAGCTACCGATAAGAGCGGAAATGAAATTTGAAACTTAAAAATTGCAAACTTTTCTATTATTTTTAACCGTTTTTTGTACTTTGTTTGCTGCATCCGTTTGAAATGCGTTTTTGGGGCAGCCAACGCAAAAGTTTTTTCTATTTTTGCGCAAAGACAAAAGCAACGTGCGTGCCTGTGTGTGTGTGTGTTTGTGTGTGATATATATATGTGTGTGTGTGAGTGAGTTGTTTATGTATAGCGGAATATAATATATCTTGTATATGTATGTGTAGCAGTGGGCGAGCAGGCAGGCTAATCTGTCGCTATGTCCGTGAGCGTGTGTGTGTGTGTGTGAGCCAGTGTGAGTGCGCCTGAGCTCCACATATATAAAACTCCTCTCTACAAAGTGTATAGAAAATATGAATGAAGATAGGAAACGCAATGCAAAGGAGTTAAGAGTAAATTGTAGGCAATGAGTGTGTGTGTGGGGAGGGACGGGGGGCGAAAAGTCTTTGCAGGAAACGAGGAACGAGAATAGTTTTCACACACAGAATAGTTTTCCACCATTTTTCACACCTCCTTTAGCTTCACTGTGGGGGCACAGACTCTACGTGAAAAATCAATGCAAAAAATTTGTTGTTTAGTTTAACGAAACAAATTTTAATTGGCTTTTGGCAGCGTGTTGCGAAAGTTGGAAAGTTTCTTAAGAAATTGAAATTGAAATTGTCAATATATTCATTATGGGAAATTTTGGGAAAGTCTTTAGTGGCTCGCCTTTTCAGTAAAGCAAAAAAAGTTTTTCTTTATGATACAGTGAAAGCACTGTTGAGTGGATATCAATTGAAGGGAATTGTATTGAAATTTGTGCATAAAATATCTATATGAAGTCCCTATGTGAGCACATATTCATTTATGCTCTATAAAATATTCATCCAGTTTTATTATTTTCCAATTGGAATATCTTTTAAATCCTTAGATATTCGATACAAAAAGATTACTTTTATTTATTACTTTTATATAAATATGTATATATATATATGTATACAGTCCTTTAGTAGTCTTGCATTAAAAAATTCTTGTTTAATTATAATTTCTCATTTAAAGCAAATCAAATAAAAAAAATTTATTTTTTTGTATAAAATATTATAAAGTTTCGAGCTATTAACACTTCCTTTTTCTATAATCTGTTCTCCACCCAATTCTGCCTTCAAAAAGTCTCACCATAGACGTTTCTTTCAGATTCTGGTGATAGAAAAAACTTATGGCTTCTATTAGTAAAGTTTGTCGGAAAAAGTATGCTAATTACCTAAGTAGCTAATTTTTGCTCATTACTGAGCTTTCTTAATGGAAAAACTAAATTTTATCTTTGTGCTTAATAAATTTTTGGCCCCTATTAAACAAAAAATATGTCAAGAGAACAAATTTACCAGATGTGCACTCTAAGCAGCTTTTACTGTACATTGAAAACAAGTTTTCAGATTATTTATTAAAAAGTAAATTTTAAATAGGAAATAAATTTATAAAATAAATGTTTTTAAAGAAACTTTATATTGCAATCAATAACAGTTGTCAATTGTGCGCTTTACGGAGTGTTTACTGTAAAATTAAAAAAAAAAACTTAAAAAATACTCCCAAATTTAATATAAATTTAAATGAAATTAATATTAAAATTTGAAATTTCTTGGCCTTTGTTAAAGTTCGCTCTAAGCGGATTTCACTGTACAATGAAAACCAAATGTTCGCTAATTGAAATAATACTCTTAAATTGAAAATTTAACATAAATTACAAAAATATATATATATTATTATAAAAAATTTGTCAGCTTTTCGCTCTATCAAGTTTTTACTGTAAATTTACATAGGCATTTAAAATCGGACTAATTTGATACACAAAGAAAATTTGCAATCGAAATTGAATGATTTAATGCAATTTTTCTGAGTTCACTCTAAGCAGCCTTCACTGTATCTCTCATCAAAGTGCCTTATGTGGCTTAGAGTCAAGCCTCAGCCACACATTCAATTATCCTATTAAATAACGGATTTATTCAAGCGCATCAAACTAATATCCGTTCGTTCTCGAAGCCCCAAACGAAATCTAATTGCACGTTACGCAAAATCAATATTAAATATTATCGATATTAAATATTTATTGAACTTTCGCAGAGCGCAACAAAACACGAACAACTTAAGCCGCTTACGGCCAACTACAGCAGCATTTACAACATTTTGATTATTTAAGCAAGAAACAAAAACAAAAAAACCTAATTTTCCCACCCGCTTTAATCGTGCCATCTCTCTCTCTCTCTGTCTCTCCCTCTTAGCATTTGAATGACGAATTTAATGAGCTGAAAAAAACGCCAATCACTTTCACACATTGCATAGATGAAAATTGAAACAGCCGACAACAAAGACGAGCAGCGGCCGTCGACGCCGACGTCGACTGAGGCAGCGACAGCGACTGTGGGCGCATTGATTACATTTTCATAATCAACGAAATACAAGAAAAAGCAACAGCAACAAAAAATAACTCACAAAAAAGTAAAAAGAAAAAGAAAAAGAAAAAAGTTGCAGTTGGTTTCAATGAAAATCGCATAATGGAGACAACACCTGAATCGTGTGGCACAGCACGCGATTCTGTGGAGGCGTTGGAACTGGAGGCGGATACGGCGGAGACAGAGGCGGCAGCAGAGCCAGCGACAGCAGCAGCAGCAGCAGCGGCAGCGGCAGCAACAGCGACTGCGATTGCAGCCAACAACATGTCCGAGTTAGAGCCCGCAGCTCTGGATGCTTTGGATGGGGACAACGACCAACAAAAGCAAAAGTATGTCGCAAGCTCTAAATGAAATTAAAATCAAATTGTGAACAACATACAAAGCGAGAGAGAGAGGGCGACTGAGAGAGCGAGTTGATGACTCTTTGCAACAGTCAAGCCGCCACGAGCATAGCCTAATTACATTTTCATTTCGATTTTAGCAACGATTCGCTGCAGCCGCATTCACTGGAGCCCATCTCCATGGACGATATACCGGAGCCCATCAAAGTGCTGGATGATATCATATCGGAGTTCGAAGAGGCAACCACCAAGCCGGCAGCACTGCATTGCAACAGCGGCGAGAATCAATCAGAAGACGATGGCTACATGAGTCTGAGTCGCAAAAAGTGAGTTATACAGAGCTAAACAGTCTATTTCAGTATAGACCTTAACATTATTCACTTTATGCTTAGGCTAACCCCCCCAGTCCATGAGTGTCTTAGGAACTGCAGACTCTAGTATCAAAGTAGTTTTTTCTTAACTCAAGAGATTAGCATGCTTCGCATACAGCAGATACAGTTTGTCTCTATTTTCAATATTATTTCTTTAAAATTTGAAAGAAAATGCAGATTATGAGCTATGGGCGGCTATATAAGGAAAGCCAAGACAAATATCTTAACCAAAAAAAAAATATTTGATAATGTATAAAAAATTAAATTTGAACTTAGGCCAGATTTATTATATATATTTTATAAATTTAATATATATATATAGTTAGTATATATATGAGTGATTATATATTGAGCTATGGTTTTTAGAAACTTAAAAACATTAAAAATTTAATTTAAAAATAAATTTGAACTTAGTGCAAATTTATTATATATATTTTATAAATTTATTATATATAGTTAGTAAATATATGAATGATTGAGCTATGTTTTTTAGAAACTAAAAAACATTGCATAATTAAAAAAAAAAAAATTAAAAAAAAATTATTTTTAATTAAAACATTTTATATTTTAAAAGAAATTCCAAAATTCTTAAATATTTTTAATATATATATTTTTTTAAATATTTTATTTATTTATTATTATCTTAACTTATAAAGTTTCTAAAAGCTGTTAAAACAATCTTTAGAAAATTTAAACTTAAAAAAAATTGATTTTCTCAAGGAATTTAAAAAAATGCTAACTTTTGTTGACTATTATATTAAAGCCAATAACTGCATGAAACAAGCTCAAACAAGTAAGAATCTGGCAGTCGACTGCATAATACCTGTTCACCTTCCTAAAACAGTTTAGTAATTTTTAGTCAAACTCAAAGGAAACTATCAAATTTTGGAGTTCTAGCTGCAAAGCTTTAAAATATAAGGTAAATCTATGGAGAAGGTCAACAGTAAAAGTCGTTTTAATGCAAATACATATAATAATAATAAATAAATAATATATATAATAGGCTTAGGTTTGTCTATCAGTAATTTTTGATCTTCGGCTTCCAAGTTTCCCGCCTCTTCTGCTATATCAGTTATAGTATTTTCCAGCTGAATCTTAACTTTAGTAGCTGTAAAGAGAGAGCTCATAAAACTGTGATAATCAATGCCAATCATAACTAATTTTCAATTCAATTTCATTTTCAATTAATTACATATTTTTAAGCACATATCCTCTGCCCACTCTATTGAAACATTCCTTAATAAACTGCCCAAAAATGTTAATAGAGCTTCTAAAACAAAATGCTTCTGTTATTTTTGTATGTGCAGCATGTCTAAAAAGGACTCGGAGGATGTGCCACAAACACCCAGCACGGACACCGTGCCCGAGGGCAGCTTCAACGAGGTTGATGGCACCGCTGAGAATCTAACCAAATTATCCGAGGCGGAGCACAGCAGCCAGGAAGCGACAACGCCGCTCATACAGACAACGCTGGTGAGCACACACACACACACACACATAAATATATATATACATATATATATATATAGCTGATGAAAATTCAATTAATGCACTCTTTACCTTTAGCCCAAGGCACGTAGCGCCAATTCGACGCCAGCCACCAGCTCCAACTACTCGAGTCTGCCCTGTTGTGGTGCACGTGCCTCAAATTTGACTGCCACCTCGACGTGCAGCTCGTCGAATGGTCTGGAGGCGACAGCCACACGCACCGGCAGCTGCAATGGGGAGCGCAATGTGCTGGGCATAGACATCAGCGCGGTGCACAATGCCGTGCTGCGCGGCAATCTGGCCAAGTTGCCGGAGCCAATGCTGAACGAGCATCCTGTGACCATCTATCCAGGGCCATCGGCCAAGGCGAGTGGCGACGGTGGGCGCGGCAAGCGTTTGGTGGAGAAGCACAAGGCTGTGTGCCACATGCTGAATCCACATTCTATTAGCTCCAGCTCCTCGTCGGGCTCGCAGCACACGTCCAGCGGCGAGGCCTCGCCGGCGGCGTCCAATATGAACGTGGCCACGGCCAAACAGCAGCAACTGGACGACTATTCCGAGGATTCCTTGGAGGAGTCAACCATCTCGACAGACCTAACGCCCGTCAAGCAGAACGGCGTCGCCTGGGAGATACACTTCAAGAGCAATAAAAAGAAGTCCAGCGGCAGCGCAAAGAAATCAAATTCGACAGCCGTCAAAAAGGTGAGAGAACTGCAGTTCGACTGCCAGCAGCAAAAGCTAATCTCTCCCTTCGCATTTACTTAGCAGCAGCAGCAGCAGCAGGATAACAATCTGGCTGATTTCAACAAGAGTTTCGCCTACAACGAACAGAGCATGCTGGGCAAGGGCACCTTTGTCATACGCCGCTCCACGGGCAAGAAGCCGCCACGTGCCGCTGACATTTTCTGCATACCAAAGCCGCCGCGCAGCTCCCTCGGCGCCGGCGCCATTAGCAACGAGTTCTATACGAGCGACAGCGAGCCCAGTGAATCGACGCCGTTGCCACCGCCACCGGCGCCCGCCGAAATCAATTTCATCTACAAAGAGTGCGAAGCGGCAGCGGCGCAAACGCGACGTGGCCTGGAAATGGCAGCGGCACACAGAGCTGCGCTCTCCTTGGATATAGCCGAGGCCACCGAGCATCTGATCAATAAGCCGATCAAGAGCAAGACGGCCATGTTGACGGAGAAGCGTCTCAGCGCCGAATCCATGCCGGACAACACCTCCAGCAGCGAGGAGTTTGACGAGGCGCGTCTCAATGGCAACGGCTACGAGCTGTACGGCTATAATGGAAGTGGTAAGGGTATTCCCTAGTCGAGCACATCTACACTAGAGCACTCTTAACTTGCTCCTAATCTGTCTTCCAGAACAACGCGTCTCGACAGCGACCACGCCTCACACAGATCTGGCGCCTACCTTGGAGGAGGACGAGGAGTCTGACTTTAGCTACGGCTGTGCGCCGCTCAAGCAGATCGAGCACAATATCAGCGCGCTGCTGCGTGGCGATATACCGCTGCCTGGCCAGCTGATTCAGGCGAATGGCTGCAGCAGTGGAGCTGCTGCAGTTACTGGAGGTGGAGCTGCCACTGGTGCTGCTGCTACGACTGCTGCTGCTGCCGCCGCCGCCGCTGCTGCTGCCGCTGCTGCTGCTGCTGCGGAGCTGCATGCCAAACGTGTGCTGGAGTTCCGTCCGGGCGTGCATAAGTCGGAGAGCGCGAAAGAGATGCTGTTATCGCAGAACATCGGCTTTGGCCCGTTGCCACCGTCGCCGCCCAGCTCCAATCCGGACATGTTCGACTATGATGCGCCATTGCCGCCGTCGCCGGTGGAGCCACGCAAGCCACTCGAGCTGCCAGCAGCTGCAACAACGGCAGCCACTGCCAATCGTGGCACCACCGTGGTCGAGGTGCACGCCACTGCCTCGGGCGCTGCGGTGCATAGCAGCAATAGCCATACGCGACGCAGTCGCGACAACGTGGCTGCAGTGCGTCATTTCAACGATGAGCTGCCGGCGCCGCCAGCACCGGCACATCAATCGAATAGCTTTGTCGACGGCTTGCCAGGTCCACCATTGGCGCCAGCCGTGCCGCCACACCGTGCGGGTCATTCGTTGAACACGATGAAATCGTGGAGCATTGATTCACAGTATCGCAAGAGATCGCCCAAATTGTTTGGCTATAGCAGCGGCAGTGGCATCACCACGCCCACTGGCTTGGGCGGCATGCCGCCGCTGCCACAGCCGCCGATGGGCACCATCGGCTCCTGCGATGGCGGCTCTGTGGCCGGCACGGGCTCCTATCAGCGACGCTATATCAACTATGGCACCAAGCGCAGCTTGAAGCAGTCGCCGCGCGAAGAGCATCGCCTGCAAACCTCATGTAGTCTTCCTGAAACGCCAATCTTTGCCAGAGGGTGAGCTGCCCATACCCTGTAATGCCTACCCGATCCCAATTCACATATGATTTTCTTGCCTTTGTCGCAGCTGTGACATACCACGTACGCCATATCGTCGCCAAAATGATCCCATTCCTGTGAGTGGCTCCCGCACAGCGCCACGTTCCAGCACATCGAATAGCATCAATATGGGCAACTCCATCCTGGGCATAGGCGGTAAGTGTGCCACGATGAATGGCTGCATCTCAATAACCATGGCTCTTGCTTTAGCTGGCGCCTATGGCACCGCTCAAATCTGCCGTCAGCGTTCGATCAATCACGCCTTAGCCTCCAATGAAATGCTGCGCATGACTGGCGCTCCAGCACGCGGCTGGTATCCCAAGCAGCGCAACATGCGTCCCGCTTCCACGGAGAACATTGATCGCTTGGCCTCGGTGCGCGTCTGGGACAATCCGGCTGGCATGTCCGGCACGGGTCAATCCCGCAAGCCGCTCACCCTGCCGCCCAATCTGACGCCCTCCTTCTTGAACAAGTCGCCGCGCGAAGCGCTACGTCGTGTCACCAGCTTGCTAATCACCAAGAAGAGTAAGTGTGCAGCTGGCTAAGCATGCCATTGACTTACCCTCCCTCTCTCTTCCTCTCTGTTTACTTTGCTAGAGCACAACAAGGAGCGCAAGCACAAGGCCTACAGTGATCTGCCCATGGATGACAGCAATAGCAAGCATGCCTATGAATTTGAAACTGGTGAGCAGATGTTTACAGCTGGGCCAAGGCAGCTATAATACAAGATGATAAAACAGAGCACTTCATATAGACCAGGCCAAATCTGTTGTTAGCCTAAAAGTTCACTCAATTAAGCTGAAGAAATAGCAGAACTGTAACTCGCTTAACTCTTCATATAAATCAAGTCCAATGAGAAGGATTTTAAATTCAAAGAATTTTTATATAAAATTTCAAAAAAATGTACAACAAATTGTTAATAACTAAACGAGTTGCTTTCTATAAGCCAAGCCAATTGTGGCTTTGGCAAGGCAAAAATGTCCATAGAGTCGATTATGATTCCACAAACTCTTTCATAGCTGTGCGCTAACTAAGCAGAGCTCTTCATATATATTAGTTATAAAACATGAATAGAGCAATTACAATTTCTCAAACAGTTTCTTACTTAAATTTTAATGAAATAATAACAATGTAAATATATCTTATAAGCATTGTAAGCAATATTGGGATCAATATTTTATCAATCCCTATAAACATCTCATGAAGTGATTGAAATGTTAAGTCTGATCGGAGATCGATGCAAGCTAATGCCATTCAATCAATTGACTGCTATGACATAGATCTTGCGAATATAACATAATACATTTCAATATATTATATATATAAGATTATATATTTAAAGTCTCTTTCTTATTCTGTAGGTTCCACCAAGCGCAAGGAGAGCAGCAGTCGCAGCAAGGACACTGCCGCCGTTGCTGCTGTCGGTGCCACGCCCAAGGCCAAAAAGAAGGGCCTCTTCAAGACGCTGTGGAAGCGCACGAAAACCGCCTCGCTGGATCAATAGAGCAGCCAAAACAACAACAACAACAACAACAACAAATTATATACCAAATGTCAACTTGTTTACGAACGAAGCCAAAACACTGCCCCAACATCCCAGCTAATCCAACTACTTTGGATATGCACACACACACACTCATATATATGTACATGTATATGTTTTTAAAGAACGTTGATAATAACCGCACCTCTATATGAACACACACACATATATATATATATATGTATTATAACCCGAAACTCACCTGCTCAGCCATCAATTTCAATCACGCGCATACGATTCGAAAGATTTTCGCACGCTCATTCGATTGTAGTTCGCTCACCTTGAAAAATTGCACTCAATATGCAAGCAATTTTTATATATATATGTATATCTAACATATATATATATATATATATATCTATGTATATGTATACAACTATATCGGTCATATAATAAGGCGAAAAACTGAGTAATTCAAAAATGCACAAAGCCGTGAATCGTAAAGACTGAAAAAAGAAAAAAAAAAAAAATAAATAAAATGTAAATGAAATGTTTAAAAACAAAAATTTTGGAAATGCCACAACAGACCAGATCAGCAGAGAAATATATATACCTATCAGCAATAAAATCTATATCGAGAGAGTAGTCCCGTCTTTTGAACCTGCAAACAATTCCATGGCCGAAACACACAATAAAAACGCACGCAACGATGAGCAAAAAAATAAAAAATAAAAAATAAAAAAATAACAAAAATTATGAAACGAAAATTTATAAAAGCAAAAACAAAAGAATAATTATTATACAGCACTGAATTTATATATAGTATATGAAAACTCTATATGCATAGTTTGGAGTATAACTGAGCCGTTTAGGGCTCCACAGGCAGCATAACTTACTTTATATTATGATGTTCGATTTATATACATGAAGCTACTCTTTTTATGGGCTTCCTTCGGACGCTGGAGGGTCATCTCTGAGCCAGCCTAACTTCGGCTAGAGCGCCGCTCCAAGCTAATATTTTAAAGCAAAAAAATATGATATCTTACAATAAAATTGTATTTCGAAATTTTGAGAGACTAGAATAGCCGAAACGCCCTCCAAATTTCAAAGAATCTTTGATAATACGATTTCCAAAATTTTTCATACAATTTAAAAAACGAAAAACGAATAAGAAAAACCTAAAAGTTAAATACAAGAAAAAATGCTCAATAGAACTTTACCAGGCAGCATTTTGCTTTTTGTAATTCCAAAAGAAAAGAAAAGAAAAGAAAAACCCGCAATGAAAAGCAGAAAACAAATAAAACAACTGTAAACGTTTACTAGTCATTAAATATATGAAAAACAAGAGGTGGGCAGAAAATGATGAAATATATAAACAAATATGTATTTTTTATTAACACACTGAGAAAGCAAAGTGGCCAAATATAACAAAAAAAAACATTTTATGAGCATAGGCGCCCGCCCCGCCCTGCCCTGCCCTGCCCCTCATAAGGAAAGTTAAGTAAAGAGAGAGAGGGAGAGCCAGTTGAAAAGTATTATTAACGAATTATTATATATTATGCTATAGCAAGTTGGTATTTATTATAATTAATATTATTGTATGTACAATTATTTGTATTAATATTATTGAATATATTTTTTAGAAAAGTAGTGTGAAAATTGAAAAAAAAAAAATAATAAAAAAACTAACAGAAGGAATAAAAAAAATAAAAGTACTTAAAAAAAAACAAAGACGAAAGTAAAATTTACATTTGGGTACTTTTATATATATATATCTAAATATATATATATAGATATTTATCCTCAAAAATCGAAATTGAATATCTGACCCAAAGTTGATATTTATAGAACGAGCTGAAGTACTAAAAAGTCGTTTGTTTTTTAGAGATGTTTTTTCTTATAGACCTTTCGACACATCCTACATTTGAGCAACATTTCTAAAGCACTAACTAAACCAAACGCTCCCAACAAAATAAAACTCTATATAAAATGTTCATTCTCACACGCTCGGCTAGACATGAAAAACTAACTGCTTAAATGGAACACACATATAACAAAATATATATAGAAAAATAAACATATAATAATAACAATGACAAATTACAATAACAATTCACACACACACACACATATGAATAAAGAGCTATGAAAAACAAGTTAAGCACAGACAGAGCAAAGCAAATGATATAATTTTTTAGCAAGAACAAATGAATTTTAAAAAAAAATATATATATATATATTATTTATATATATATAAAATTTAACAATTAATGAAATGAAATAAAAATAGCATTGAAAATTTTGAAAAATATTAAAGTAAAATTGTGTTTTATTGCAAGGTTGCAAGGCATGAATGTGGTAAGTGAAAGCTAATTTCTAATTGTAGATGAAAAATTATAACAAATTACCATTTAAAAAAGTATAAAGTATTAACAATAGTAATTAAAAGTCGCAAATAGAACTTTTTGTTTGTTTATTACACATTCTTACAACAAGCACGACGAAAACTTAAACTCAAAAATACCAAAAATAAAATGAAAATAAAAACACATAAAATTAGTAGTTAGACTTTTAAAATTAACATTGAGAATTGAAATGAACAGAAAGGGTTAATCGGGTTCTATGTTGTACTCCTCTTAAATATTAATATTGATAACATATAAATGATTTGCCAAAAACGAATATTTTCTTTTTGACGGCAACATGTACATGTACACGGTATATGCACATAGTTTAATATATTTAAACTGATTTAAACACGCACGCACATACACCTTTAATATACCTCCAGCGATGTCTATACATTGTGCGTGGCACAGTCGGAACCAATAGCCGATCGACTCTATAGCGAGACAAAGCATTTCCTTGATACTGGCAAAGCATGATGCTGCCAATGCCAATAACACGAATAGCAGACCAGATCTATTAGCTACCTAAATGGAATATGGCCATGGCAACACATATCTTAATCAATTAGAATTGAAAAGTTAATCTAGATACGAAATCTTTTCAGTGATATATAGACATATAGACATAGATTGAATTGAAATTCGCAACGCTTTGAAGATTTTGAGAAGTATTTAAAGGTAAGTGAAAGCTAATCCTTAATTTAAAAGTGAAAACACACCCTTTAGGGAGGTATATAGTATTAACAATAGTTTAGTTGCTAATGTAACAGCAAATTTAATTCAAAATCGTAAATACAATTTTCATATGGGTTTCTTTTGTTTTCTTTTTATTACACATTTGCTCGCAATTTACGTTGTGAGTATACCAAATAAATATTCATTTATGTTAAAGACGAAGATGTTTTTTTTTTTTAAAGAAAACAACACACGCGCCACAAACGAAATAATTATTAAAAAACTAAATAAACTAACTAAAAGTATCAGTAATGCGCACATCTTATACGCCTTTAGTTTTAGGATTGATTGGGTTAATGGTTAAAAAAAAAAACAAAAAAAAAAAACAGAAGCAAACAATTATTGATAGCATTACCTTAAAGATATCAATTGAATTGCTTAGACAGTCCTGTAGGTTAAAATTATTGTTTAGCAGAAGAGATACTATAGTTGTAATTGTTGTTATTGTAGCGGATGCTGCCGTTGTAATGCGTGTCATAAATTTTAAAAAGATTTAACAAAATATGCCTTGGTATAATGTATTACAAGGTATTACAATTATATATATGTAGTTTGGTTTGTTGTGCATTGTGAATTCAATTAGTGAAGATTTTATTTTTTGTTTTGCTTTGTTTTGTTTTATTTTGTTTTGTTTCTTTTTCTTTTCCTCTCGCATTTTCTTTTGTAATAATCTCTAATTAGCCGTCCGAGCCATCTGCAGTCTAAGCCATATAGCTATACTCGTCCCCAGAGTTAGCCGTACGCTCAATATATTGTTTGTCAATTAACGATTCAACGCATTTTTTTATCATTGCGATATTAGGCGTAAAGCTAACTTTCGATAAGGAGAGTACCTGTCGATAGAAGACGAATGCGATTAGTTCATATTTATATATCAGATTCGTTGACATACCTCTTGTATGAGAGCATTGTGCTTCAAGACCTTGCGCGCCTTCATAATACGCACAATGGCGGCCTGCAAAAACAATTTACGATCCTCATCCACCGAGTTAATCGTGTGCTCCACCTAAATGATACAATTGAAAGCATTAATCCACACATTATCTATAAGGTAGGCTTGTTGACATCTTTACACCGACCTCCTGTGGTGTTTCTTTTTGTAACGCCGAGCTAATCTTAAATTTCGTACGCTTATTGGTATAATCGAAATTCAATTCGATGCGCGTATCACCCGAGAGATTCTCTGAGTTGGCATTTAGCAATTTGGACTCAATCATCGGCTGCATATGCTTCTGAAACGTTTCATCATTTAATTCCAACGTATTCTGTATCTCTCGACAACTGAGCTTATCGCAGGTCTCGAAAAGCAACATTATCGCCATTTGGTACGTTTGCATAGTCACAATGTAGGACTTCTTAAGGTGGCTTAGCTTCAGTTCGCCATGGCACATATGATGCAGCCAGGTTAGCTTGCGACCGCTGAATAAATTGTGATAATAGTCCTCAAACTAAATAAAAAAAGAACATTTTTGAATACTTTTAAATTAACATTCACAAATCGTCAATTTCCAACTCACCATTTTGATGGACTTTTCGAATTCCTGGGGCACTGCAAATGGTATAACCTGCGTCGAGCCTAACGGCCAAGCGCCCGCCTGCAGCACTTTAATTGACAGATTTATACCTGTAATAATACATTAAAATAAAATATAAATTAATTTGTTATAGACTCATTACAGCTTTTGAAAACTGTTCAAAAATCAGAGACAAATACTTCTAACATAATCTACTATAGAATGTAATGCGCTGTCATACCCAGATCAATTTCGTTGTCCTTTAAATGATTATTGAACTTATTGTTCAAATCTGTGGAGACCGAAATGTCCGTGAACATGCGATGCAGTTTATTGGTGAATTCATAGCCGCAGGCTTGCTGTAATACAGATAAATACGTATATATTAAATTTCATACATAATTATAAGGTATCTTTGTAACGCACCTTCAAGCGATTTATCATGCCCTCCTCGGCATCCATACTCTGACTTTGTTCGTGTATAAGACGCTTCGCTAGCAATCTACTGTAGAACTTTTGATACACATCCTTGTCCTCAATGTATTTGAATATGGTTATATTATTTGTGAGTTTCTGATCGATTTCCGCTTCGCAGGTTTTCGATTTCTTTAACAGTGTATCACAGTATTTGGCCACATATTCAGCGCTGCGACATGGCTGCCGTTCGCTGGGACGTCGATTGATGACGCTGGCGCAGGCTTTGTCCAGCGCGCTAAGGAATAGCGAATCATTTTCGAAGACATCGGCAATTAGCTCCTGATACTTGTGATGCACTTTCAGCATATTCTCAACGAAAGCAATGTGTATATTCTCGCCTTTGAGGGCATACACCGTTTCCAGCCCTTCGTTTTTGATGTGCTCCAGAAAGGTCTGTATCAGCTCAGCTTTTAGATGATCGGGTATGGGCTGTAGTACAATGTACATATTGCGTAAATCCTGACGCCTTTCATCCGACACCATGTCTCGGCACTCTGAATATATGAAGCCCAAACGATCGTTGATAAATTTCTCTTCGCATTGCTTGCGCAGCTTTGTCAACGAGCTCACATGGAGAAACTTTTGCGCTCTCTTACTCTCACATTCGAGTATCTTGATAACCTCTTGCATGTACTGTGAAACGCTGCAACGTTGTAGCAGCTTGTTGGCTTCGTTCGTATAATATGTGCCACTGGCTTGCAACATGGGCCCTTCGAAGAAATCCTGATACAACTTTAATGAGCCTGTCTTTTTATAATTCTGCACCTCAACAAAGCTGTGTATAACGCCATTAATGACCTGTACGCGATGCGAATCGAGTGTACCATTGCTAGCCCGATCTGCAGCAATGCCCTCCAATATGTGACGCACCAGTTCCTCCGCCAAATACTCGACCATATGCATGCGCCAAATGTCCAAGCCAAGCTCACCGATTTCCATTTGTTCGGCAGCATCGCTGGACTGATTACTATAAATTGCCTCCGTATCTGTGATCTTTTGCTTTTTAATGTGCTGCTGGTTTAAGTAACTGCAAAGCCAAACGCAATTTCTATATATTAAATATTCAATGAATTGGTTAAGCTAGCGACTTACATGTATAGTAGATGAAGATATTTAATGCCCTGACTATATTCCATCCAGGTAGTATAATAGCGTTGCAATAGATCTGGTCTGCTATTCGTGTTATTGGCATTGGCAGCATCATGCTTTGCCAGCACCTTATTGGCCAGCATCTCGACGTGAGAATCAAGGAAATGCTTTGTCTCGCTATAGAGTCGATCGGCCATTGGTTCAGGCTGTGCCACGCACAATGTATAGACATCGCTGGAGGTATATAGAAGAGTGTATGTGCGTGTGTGCAAAATGAATTTAAATATTAAAAATATGTGCACATGCTATATACATGTAAATGTTGCTCGTCAAAAAGAAAATTTTGTCGTTTTTGGCAAATCATGCTGCGTAGCACAGTGGAACGCAAGCAATTTATATGTTATCAATTTTAATATTTATGTTCAGCATAACAGCCGATTAACAGTGAACGATAACTGTTCATTTATTTCAATTATCAACATAAATATTCTAATTTTGTTAGCCACAAATATATTTGGTTTTTGTTTGATATTTGCTATTTGTTTTTGTTCCACTATGCGATATATAGGAGTAAATACTCACGAAAAGCTTGTGTTCCAGACGGCGCGATCCACTTGTCTCAACGTTATCACCGATTCAGCCATGCGACGCAAGCGCGGCCAAACATCAACAAATTCCACTCTTTTTGGCTTGAGCGACATCTCTGCTGGTGTGTGTATGTGTGTGTTTGTGTGTGTGGGAGGATGTGGATTGTTTGCTTAACTGTTTTTGAATTGGTATTGGTAAGTGGAGGACAAAATGGATTGGCCCAACAGCATTGAAAACACAATATGAAAATAAACAAGAAATTGCCACAAGCGTATACAACTTGAATTTGTTTTAAACGCGCATTTTGTTATAAATAAAGTACAATTGCGTCGCCCCTCGTACGTTGCTGCCACCAGACATAATCAGCAGGGCCCCAGGCCAAAAAAAAAAGAGAAATATATGTGGGCAACAACGACGACGGCGACGACGTCGACGGCCTCGAGGTGCACCAATAAATGCAGTTGGCCCCCAAAAAAGAGCCACTTGATGTGCTGCTACGGCAACGTGTGGTGCACTTACGCGCTTTTTAATTACACTATGTACTAATTATTTATGCGTAAAATTTAGTTTTTTTGCACTTTTTTACAATCCAAAATGAACTCTTATGTTACGGCGATAGGGTTGCCAGTCCATTTCGACAATGACAGTGCTGACATGCAACCCTGTAATAGCGTAGTTCGATAACAATAATTTTACTCACTGTTTTGCATTCTGAATATTAACATTACAAATCGAGTTAGCTACTCAGTCAGCTGCTGTTAAATAATTGTTACTGCCCGCGAAATTTAAAACACTGTAAAAATAAGAGATTTTTCTGTATATATTTATGTAGATTTATTAGACTTTTTGTTTGTCCTATAATTTGCTAATTGTTTGTTTCTGATTTCAGATTTTCTTTGTTATTGAAACTATATAAAAGTGCAATGTTAGATTTATTGTTAATAGCTTAAAACACAACACTTAAACATTTACTAAATAATCTCATTTTTATTAATTTTGCTAGTTATTTTCAAATACTTTTTAATGAAAAAAACACAATTTAGATGTTTTGGGAATTTTGGGTTGACAGTTAATCAATCATCGTTATGCTTTTAACTTACATATTTTCGTTGATTGTCATGCTTTAAGCCATTAAAAAACAATTTAGGTAAGGCTAACAAAATCGATGGATAAAAATGCTTATAAACTGGATTTGCCATTCGTTATTTTTTTAAATATATTGATGTAATTTTCATTTATTTTATCTTGCTATGTAAGTTCGTTTGTAGTTTCTTTCTTGACTAATTCGTTGAAGTTCTCTAGTAAACATGCGACGCTTCTCTATGTATATATGCTAATGTATATGTAGAACTATATATATGCATATGTATATGTTATTATGTATCTATGTTTCCATAAGAATAGTCTATGTTCGGTTGTTTTTGTTTCTGTAATATGCATGCCAAATTCTTTAAATTATTTGCCTACTATTGCTCTTCCACTAGTTTGGGGCATTATTTAATGCTATATTAACTAATAGTTTATAATTATTTAGCATAAGTATAGTACATACAATTTGTTTGTTTTACTGTTTCGTTTTTGGACTTGCTTGTGGGTTGCATTTTTGTTGTGTGGTGGGATACGGATTCTCAATTTAAATATTTCGACTTAGTCTACATATTTGCATTATTTACGTTTTGCCTTTGTTATTTGTTTTTAATTTATAGTTACATTTCAAGCACATTCACATTGAGACGTACTTTGTTTTGGTTTTCTTTTTGCGAAAATTGATGCAAGTAGTTGTAATAGTATATACGTATAATTTAATTTAAATTCCTAACACTAATTTATAAATTGATGTTTTAGATTTTTTATATTTCAACTACACATCGACTAATGTTGTTAAGCAAATAATTTGTTATGTTACAGTTTTTCTATATAATTTGTAAATGAAATAACAATTTGTTTAAAACAAAACACTCACAATAAATTTAAATACTTAAGTTATAGTTATAAATGTTTAAGGTACACAGTTTACAAACTTTTCAAAAGCGAAGACCAGTTACAACTAAGGAGTACAATTTTTCTTATGCTTCTTTTTAAATGTTTCTTTTTTGTTCGTTTTCTTTTTGTTTTTAAGTTGTTCACGTAGCAGAGAATATCACACGAATATAGGCAAACCAAATGTAGCAAGTATAACAGTTGTTGTATAACAGTTAACTATATGTTCACTCCCGCACAAGCACACACACTCTCTCTCTCTCTCTCTCTGTATCGTTCTCTCTCTTACATACACACACACATATACAATCTCAATATGTCAAATGCAATTCGTTCTCAATTCACTCCAACAAGGATTGAGATTCCCCAACGGTTCCATTGCCTAAACATGTTTCTGCAGCGGCCTCTGTTGCTGCATCCTGCGCCTTAAGCTTCAGCAGTGGTGTCTTAATATCTGCCTCCAGCTCGGTACTGCACTCCAGACTAACCGGAGCTGCAGCTGCCACTGTCTCCTTCTCATGCAGCTCTACAGCTGCCTTTGGCTCCGCGGCGCTGCTCTCAGATTTACCCTGTAAAAAGCCAAAGAGTGAGGCCAGAGTGTACACAAGTATTGCGTGTACCACTCACCTGTAGATAGTAGGTCATCAGTTGACCCTTGCCCTTGACAGCCACCAAGCCGCGCTGCAGAAACGTATAGCCGAATTGCTCCAATATGTTACAGGTTTCCTCGGTCACCTGTACGGCGCCCGCTTTGCCAGTGCTCTCCATTCTGGAGGCCACATTCACTGTATTCCCCCAGATATCGTAGTGTGGCTTCCGGGCGCCAATCACACCCGCCGTAATGGGTCCATGATTGATGCCCATTTTGAGTACGAAATGATTGAATGACTGCTCATTGATGCCCTGCAGCGCATGCTTTAGCTCCAGTGCAAATTCCACCAGAACCGCCAAGTGGGACCAGCGCTCGGTAATGGGCGCATCATTGCGTAAATTGCGCTGCAAATTAATGCCACTGGCAGCCATATAAGTCGATCCAATTGTCTTAATTTTGATGATGTCCTGAAATTGTGGCAGCTCCAACAACTAAAAACAGGTTAACAAGTTATGTAGTACAAGTTAACCGAAATATATAGATTTGTCTTACCGCATCAAAATCGGAAATGACCTCATTCAGAAAACGCAAACACTCCAGACCCTGATTGTTAACAGTTTCCTCCGAATAGAAATCTGTGAAGTATGTGCTATGCTCAAACTCTATTTTCCATAAATAAACCTATAGAAATTGTACCTGAAAAGTTGGGCATGCTGGCGAAGAGAACGCCTACCTCGGCATAGCTCTGAGAGTAGAGATCATCGTGGGAGCGCTTTGTGTTCTTCATAAAATGTTCGGCCACATGCACGGGCAGCACATTATAGACCAAAGCCTCATTGCGTTGACGCATATCGTTGGCGGTTTCCTTTTGCTCGGCCACTTCAGTTTTCCATTTGAAAATAACACGATCCTCGTGGTCCATCTAGGGAAAGCCCAAGTTTAGAGACATTTAAATATATAATTTAATATATATACAATTTAATGTTTATATTAATCATTCAGTCAGCTGTATTCTCTACTGTGCTCAAAGAAAAAATGTTCATATATACAAAATTTTCCCTTATTGAAATAAGTCTGGAAAACACAACACTGAGAAGAGTAAACTGGGAACAGTTGTTTGAGAAGTAGCACAGTAAATTGCGGGCATTATACTGTACAAGCATTGAGAATAGTATAACTGGGTACAGTATACTGGGAACAATACGCAAGGAACAATCAATTCTTATATATATTTTTACAATTCGAAGAGAACATCAATCATTTTAAAACTACAAGCGCAATATTGAGAACAGTATAAATAATGAGAACAGAGTAAGTAAAATACGAGCAGATCATTGAAAGATAAATGAACAAATAAATGTGATATTTATATTAAAGGCAGAAAACTTTAAACTTTAGATTTTAGCTTTTTTAAATTTCACATAATTTAGGTATACATAGGTATATCTGTTATGTGTATATATATGTAGATACAGTAATGAAGGGCCCTAAGTAAAAAGATTTTTCATAGCTCTTGCAAATAGACACTAAGCCTTATATATAATAAAAAATATTAAACAGCAATTTCCGTGTGGTAAATACTATAATATTGTTTGTTATAATTTGGGTTCCATGTATGTAAGTCATCTCTCAAGTGTATTGTTAAATTCCGCATTAGAGGTACTTACATGTCTTGCTAAAAAGCTGAGTGACAATGCCGCCACAAGCAGCAGACCTGAAGCACAATAACGTGTTGATATAACACTGAAAAAAATTCTTTGATTAATAATCTTTAAAGCGCATACTTTTCATCTAAACTCACGGCTGATGAGCCAGATCATCCTCCAGAGTGTACAAATCCTGCATAATGCACACATTGAAATAACAATGCAGAGCTGAAGTTTAAAGAACAATCGTTTAGATTTTTATATTAAAAAGATTCACAAAAGAACAACTCACCTGCAATGGACAGCAGCAACAGGATTTTGGTCAAGTGTGTGAGCTGCGCAATTACAGCAATTGCGATTAGTATGAGGACACTGAAGTTGCTCAAATAGGACGGATATAGGACACGCTCGGTTGGCACCGCTTCACGCATCTGTTCCACAAACGATTCGGGCAGCAGGTGCTCAGCGGTGGCCACCTCCTCTAAGCCGCCCGTGGCATTGAATTCGCTCTCGCTAACAATGTGCTCGGTGCGCACGAAGGTGACAAAGAAAAACTGCAACGAGCAAAGAAAAGAAACAAAGTAGAAAGTGCGCAAAGATCGATGACTTAAAATACACCCTACAATAAGCTATAAGCTAGATGTGAGCAATCATTTATGCTTATATAGACAAAGTCCAGAAGTCTATTTCTTAAGGCAATACTATATAGATGTATGGCTTTTAAATGTGTATAAATATGTTACTTATAACAAGAAGCTCTTCAATAGTATGTCTTACTCTGGCATATGCTAATGCTAATATAACAGTTACAGAGTAATGGTAGAGTCGAACTCTGTACGGCCTTAATTTTTCCTATAGAAACTGACATACATCACTATATCAATCAATAACTTATACACACTAACAGTATTTAAATATGAATAAACTTAGTTAATTTGTCGTCCTTATTCTATATATATATATAATCGTATGATGTCTAAGGTGAACGCGAACAGGCGCTTATTGTTAAATCTATTCAAATTGTCGTGCTTATTAAGAATCTATCAACTATATAGGACATGCCTACATTTCCGTATTACATCGTATACAGCTACAATATTCTTTTGTCGAAGCAAACTTTTACAGGGCAACCGTAAGAAAATCAATAAGGACTTGAGCACGCCCAGTGCAGCAGTCAAACCGCATACTAACCATGTCGATGACATTGCTGAGGCCAATAGTAAGCGCTATAATTATGGCCGCCAGCTCACGAACGAAGGTAATGTCATTGAATCGCTTGCTCACATCCACAAAGAACTTGGGCAGCATGCCGCTGAAGCTTTCGGCAATGCTAATGGCCACCAGCATGGCAATGGGCACCAGCGGCGCGGCAATGTTAATGAAATGCAGCGTCGAGCGAGGCAACACCAAATAGGAATACAAAACATCGATGCACTGCACCAGCAGGGCGGCCAG